GAAAGAGGAGAAAGTAAGTCAGGAAAAGAAGAATTACTCTGTTTACTACCAGAAACAGTGCACCACTTTTGGCTCCATCTGGACAATGTGTCTGATCCCAGTGATGATTCCAGCAAACAATTAATCTCCTTTTCTGTTATTTATTTCATAAACTTGAGATGTATATTACATATTCCAAAAGCATAATTAGTACCTTGTATGATTACGTCATGGTATCAGAAAGCCTACTTCATTACTGGATGGGAAGACTTCAGTGTTAGTAATTGTTACATTCTTTGAGTTTGGTTTAAGCCATCACATTTATCATGAGCTTTGCTCTGAAAGCTGTTTAATACTTCTTTACTCATCCACAGATTCAGAATGCTGGCAGACTTTCACACAAACACAACGACTTTTGGAATACGAGCAAATACAGAAAATCTGACAGGTCTCTTGTCTTCAAGACCTATTCTGTATCTATATGTTACTATGCTACATCTGTCTACCAAACGAACCAAAACAATATGGAGAAGTGTTCAGTGTTGCCGTATCTCACAGAAACAAATTAGCACATTATTAATTATAAAAAGGAAAAATTCATTAACTAACTTCTGTTAAAAGTACAGCAAATTTAATACCTGCTGTCAGTTTCTGTTGTTCTTGCAAGATTACGATTTTGGCTATTTGTGCTCTTAAAGTGGCTAGTTCATTTTCTAAAGCACTGATCTTCTGCAAAGCTTCTTCATTTGCCCTCACTGTGCTCCTGGACACTGGTTCTTCTTCCAATGGGTTTTGTAAGGACATCTGTCGGCACAGGGACTTTGCAGAATGATGTAGTTCACCTGAAAGAGGCTGGGCAGTTTTTGACCAAACTTCTGACCTGTAACAAAAATATCACAAGATTCCTTTTTTAAAGGCTTTGTAATAGATGAAAACTAAAGCAACATTACATACAAACCAGTGTCGTGTTTTAACCCCAGCTGCCAACTAAGCACCACGCAGCTGCTCACTCACTCCCCACCACAGTGGGATGGGGAGGAGGATCGGAAAAAAAAGATAAAACCTGTGGGTTGAGGTAAGAACAGTTTAATAACTGAAATAAAACAAAATATAATTATAATATTAATGATTGTAATGAAAAGGGAGATAACAAAGAGAGAGAGGAGTAAAACCCAAGAAAGACAAGTGATATAATTGCTCACCACCCGCTGACCCAGCCCGTCCCCGAGCAGCGATCAGCACCTCCTGGCCAACTCCCCCAGTTTCCATACTGGCCATGCCGTTCTATGGTATGGAATATCCCTTTAGGTGGTTGGGGTCAGCTCTCCTGGCCGTGCTCCCTCCCGGCTTCTTGTGCCCCTCCTCGCTGGCAGAGCACGGGAACTGAAAAGTCCTTGGCTGAGGTAAGCTCTACTCAGCAACAACTAAACGAGCAGTGCGGTATCAACAGTATTCTCATAGTAAAGCCAAAACCACAGCACTGTACCAGCTCCAAGGAAGAAAATGAACTCTATCCCAGGTTAAACCAAGACAACCAGGAATACAAGTTGAAGGCCTGACTTCAAAATTGTCTTTACACAAATCACTTCCACCAAGACATTATATAGCTTAAAGTAAGTAAGAACTTCACATATTTTTTGTTTGCATCACTAGCTGTATTTCTTCTCTTCCCCTAGCCAGCTTTTTGTAGAATCCTTGATTTCAGGAGAAAAACGGAATACCTTCTCCCCTCACCCCCAATCTATTTCTCTGCCTCATACCTATTGTATTTCTTGTTGGAAATAAGATTTAAAGTTTTTTTGCCCGAATGCTACCATTTTTCCCCCATGGGCTGCAAATAGTCACTTGTAGTTGATTCCTTTGAAGAAGAAGGAAGAGTTCCTTAGCTCCACAGCATATTTTTGTACTTTTTGGACTTCTGAAAGGACAGCCCTCCATTTTAGCAGTGTTGGGAGTACAGAATACGTGATACAGCTTAGTGATGCAGAAGCTGCTTATCAGTAAATGGGAAAGGGTCTTACATTTAGTCTTCTAACACAACAAATAAAAACTATCGAGAAGAAAACTTCTTAAAGAGTCCATAAGCTTCCCTTCTCTTTCTCACAAGAGCAAGAAAAGCAACTGTGTTGCCTTCCTTTATTACCCACCAAAGCTCAAGCTATGATAAATACTGAGGCATTACAAGCATCTGCAGTCAAATAAGCACTCACAAAAGGTTATATTCACTGAAAACACCAACATTTTTGAACAGTTTACCTCAAGTATCTGAGCAACCTGATCTAGTTGAAGATGTGGACTAGATGACCTTTAAAGGTCCCTTCCAATCCAAACCATTCTTTGATTCTCTAAGTAGAACTGATAAGGATTAATAACAACAAATTATCATAAACAGTGTAACTGCAAAATATGACCACATACTTAACTCCTCAGTCCTTAACTTCAATCGCAAAACTTCTCAGGCAGGTTAGGATTCCATTATTTATTCCAACATGAGAGGAAGATGATATGACTTTTCAAAATGTACAGAATGGCTCCAGATTAAAACAGTTTTAAGAACCCCATTGGTCCAGATGCGCATCATGTTAGGACTGCAGTTGCGCTAGACTTAAAGCAAGAGCCAAGATTTAAGGCTAGAACAAGCCATGTGCTCTGACCACCTCAATCTGGGATTAGTGACATGTTTAAGACTTCCACAAGACTGACAGAAAACATCGGCACAACTTGCAGAAATTTGATTAATCAGAATTTAGTATTATCAAGGATGTTAAAATTTAGGTGTTGTTATCTAGATAGGAATAGAGAGCAATTAAAGCTGAGCAGAGAACAGGATGCTTACTACAGCAGCCATCTCCCTGCTCTCCCTAAGTAAGTAAGGTGGAAGGAGCCAGTGGTCGCTTCACTCTTTAAAACCTGCCTTCTGCTCCTTTAAAGAGTTTCTAGAATAGCTAAACAACAAAGGGTATTTTCCGCTCAGAGCAGTAATGGTGTTTTAAGGAAATGTCTTGATTGGAATCTAGCACTGTGGAAAAATATGCCTGAATTGTCACAACTGCTCTGACTAGGGGTAGGGGAAAAATGATTTGTCGTTTAATTGCTTCCTCTATAAAACTGCATTCACAGAAAAATCTATGTCTGCAAGACTTCACTGAATTATACAGTGAATATATATTTAACAGTAACACCTATGTGATCTTGTCGAAACAGAGAATTTCAAATGCCTGGAAAATACCTAATGCATATTAGCTTCACTACATAATACTGTGCACAGACATAATAAACGGTGCACATTGAAATACTCATATTTGCTAAGTAATTCACTTACCATGCTCCATTATAAGCGGTTTGCCTTAAGGTCACTACATATCTGCAGGATTATTTTAGTCCCATCCCATATCCATCTGTCCCCCTTCCCCCCTTCACATGCAGATGTCTCAGCAAATATGCAAGTCCTACATCTTTCTTAATAGGTTATTTGAAGCACCAAGAGCTATTCTCCCTGTTGTCTCCATTAAACATAACAGCTTTACAGTTCAATCCTTAAACAAAATGTTTCTGTGCAAACAAAGGTAGTATTGGCCAGTTAATTTCCTTTGCATCAAACAGACTTTACAAATAGCGATTCCCAAACAAGTGCTTATTTCTGTGACTCCCCTCTGAGTTTGTGAAATTAATGTGGCAGTGCCAGAATGTTTGTTATGCAAAGCTTCACTGTGGCAAGTCATGTTGGAGGGCATCTACGTCGTTACTAACCTATTTCATGCTTTCAAACTAAAAACAGTGACCTCCGGTAATCTCTGAAGCCAACAATCTGTGCCTTTCTCTGGAAGGTTAGTTTGTTTAGAAAAAAAACTTCCTCTGCACTACAGAACTGTACCTTTGTTTCTGGCTAGTCTGAGCAGCAATTTGGGTAAGCTGGAATAGAGAACTTCATCACTTCAGCCAACCTGTTTCATGCAGTTACAGTGCTGTGTAGTGCTCTTGGTCCAACACAACAGTACCTGTCCCATCATTCTGGACACAGGTGCTCACATGCTTCCCACCCAGTTTTCGTTATGAAGATTAAAGATGAAACATAAACCATAATTTTTTTAATTGTCTTTAGCAGACTGCAGAGCCTTAACCAGAAAGGTGAAAAACAACGTACCAGTTACTGGATTGCCAGAATGACCATTGCTGCTAATTAGGAAGCTGTGCAGTACACCACCCCATATTAACAGAAGTCTCAGGAGAATTGGAGAATCAGTGTTAGCAACTGTGCCATACCACAGCCAACATTTTTGTGGGGACAAGGTCGCTTGAAGCTGCCACATGCAATTCTTTGCAATAAATAAGTAAATAGAACCCCCAGTCTTCCTTGTATAAAGCCAATCTCCTGCATGTTCTCAAATCAGTCTTTCATCCATGATCCTGTTAGTCTAACCTCTACTACTGCTCTTCCAGACCCTTCCTTTTCTATCACTCTTCCCTCTCTCTTCCCTCAGCATTCAAGTGCTCTCCATTCATTGCAACGCACAGCAGATTCTCAATGGAGAGAAGCTAGGTTTCCTCCTCTCAGTTCAGAAGTTCAAAGAGAAGATTTGAGGAGTATACCTGAGCCTTGTAGAGACTTCACCTTCTTCTTGAGCAACCCATCCCACATCTGCAAAGGAGGCCACTGCATCTTCTCTAAGTTGGTTTCCTTCTGTGGCATGAGAAGTAAGCTAAATTTTAAAGACAAGATTGAAGGTTTTAGAGTCACTATTCCCAGTCCAAGTCACAGTTATTTTACCCAATACTTTCAGCGAGGCTACACGTAACTATTAACACCTACATGCACGAAACACATCTGTAGGCTTAGCACACACATTTCTGTCCTGGGCTTGGTCCAGAACCATTTCACTGACTTCGAACTATTCAAT